ACATCAGGATAACGGACAAGACCAAAGACAAAATAATTTTTTTCGGAAACAACCTCCGATTGTTTACCTACCATAACCATTACGATTAATAAAAGGAAATATAAAGCTTTGATTGATACAGGCGCAAACTTAAGCCTGATTGACAGTAAGGTAAAAGATTTTGAACGAGTTTTACTAAAACAACCTATAGAATTTAGCACCATAACTAGGAAGGACATAATTAAATTTGAAGTTATAACTGACGCACCTATGGAATTTAACTTACCAAATTATACAAAAATTAAGTGGAAAATGCAAGAGTTAAAAGGAAGAAAGTACAATTTTATTATAGGAGTTGATTTACTAAACCATTTTAACACGATGATAAATTTAATAGACGGACACATAACATTTAATAACAAGATTACAAAATTTCTTATTAATCCATATAAGGATTTGGAAATATGTTCATTGGAAAAACTGGAAGTTGACTTGGACAGAATTCAGTTGAATCATTTAAATGCAGAGGAGCATTTAGAAGTTACGAGAATTTTAAGAAGATTCGACAAAATATTTTTTAAAGAAGGGGACCAATTGACAAGTACAATGACAATAAAACATGAAATAAGAACGACAACAAATGAACAGATAAATTCCAAATTATACAGATATCCGCCACAACATGAAGAAGAAGTACGACGACAGATCAGGGAAATGGAGGAACAGGGCATAATTAGGAAAAGTTGTTCAAGATATTCAAGCCCATTAATAGTAGTACCCAAGAAAATAGATAATTCTGGAGAGCGTAAATATAGATTAGTGGTAGATTATAGGAAGCTTAATGAAGTGACGATCGATGATAAATATCCACTACCGAACATAGATTCAATTTTAGATAAACTAGGACGAGCACAATATTTTACTACCTTGGATCTAGCCAAGGGATACCATCAAATTCTAATAAGAGAACAGGACAGAGAGAAAACAGCTTTTGTGACACCTCACGGATTATATGAATTCATAAGAATGCCGTTTGGGTTAAAAAATGCCCCAGCGACATTCCAACGATTAATGAATGAAACACTAAGAGATTTCATTAATAAAACATGTGTAGTTTATCTGGACGATATACTTATTTTTAGTACTTCTCTTAAGGAACACGTTAAAGCCATAACGGACATTTTCACGGTATTGGAACGGGCAAATTTAAAAATACAAATCGACAAATGTAATTTCATGAAAAGAGAGACAGAATTTTTGGGGCATATTCTGACAAAGGAAGGACTAAAACCAACCCCAATAAAATTAAGGTTATTCAAGAATTAGATTTACCTAAAACAGAAAAACAAATCAAAAGTTTCCTGGGATTAACGGGATATTATAGAAAATTTGTGAGAGATTATGCTAAAGTCGCACAGCCAATAACAAAATACTTAAAGAAAGGTGTAAAAATAAATTTAAGGGACCCTACATACATAGAAGCTTTTGAAAAATTAAAATCTTTAATTAGCTCTCATCCAATTTTAAGATACCCAAATTATGAAAGACAATTTACATTAACTACAGATGCGTCGAATTACGCAATCGGTGCTGTCCTGTCACAGGAGGGACATCCAATTTGTTTTGCATCAAGAACGCTTAACAATCACGAAAGAAATTATTCGGCAACAGACAAAGAATTTCTAGCAATATTATGGAGCGTTAATTATTTGAGACCATACCTCTATGGTCGAAAATTTAAGATACTTACGGATCACCAACCCATCAGATTTTTACACACAAAATATAGAGGGAAAGACATGTCACCCAGGCACCAGCGATGGTTTTTGAAATTAGGAGAATACGATTTTAATATAGAATACATAAAAGGCAAGGAAAACAAGGTGGCAGATTTTCTAAGTAGAATTGAGAAAGATAATGAAGATGATACCATTTCAGATAAGGTACAAAATTCGGAGAATAATTCAGAATTGAGAATAATAAATAATATTGAGGATGATGATGATGTATCAATGATTACAATTCATTCAGCTGATGAAAATTTACAAGATCATTTCTTTATAAAAGAAGAAATAGTGAATAAGTACAGGACACAGATTATACTTACAAATGATAAAGTTCAGGAAATAAAACATTTACATAATAAAAGGATAATTTTCATAGCGGAAAGTGATTTTCACGAAATGGGGGAAATATTTAGAAAGTATATTACCAAAGGAAAAATAGGTATATTTTCGGAAGTATCGGAGAGAAGCTATAATACTGTTCAGGAAAAACTAATAGAAATGTACTCTAATGAGAAACAAGTGGAATTTATTAAATGCACTATCAGGGCTCAAGATATAGAAACAGAAGTGGAGGCGGTGAAACAGATATCATTATATCATGTAAAAGAAAGTATGCACTCGGGCATACAGGAAACATATAACCAAATAAAAAATAAAATTTATTACCCAAGATTAATGGAACTAATTCAATTAGTTATAAATCAATGTGAAGTTTGTCAGGAGATAAAATATGATAGAAATCCAATTAAATTGAAATTCTCATACACAGAAACACCGTCGACGAAAAACGAAATAATACATATTGACACATATGTGATTAAAAGATTTCATTTTTTGACAATAATTGATAAATTTTCTAAATTCGGTGCAGCGTATCCATTGAATGATAGAAATCATTTAACAATAATGGAGCAATTAGATGATCATTTTACAAAGGTAGGGAAGCCAAGGAAAATAATAGCCGATAATGAATTTAAAGCCACTAGACTAAAGGAATTCTTAGACAATGAAAATATAGAATTGCATCTGACCAAACCTAATAGTCACACGGGAAACGCCGACATAGAACGATTTCACAACACAATTGCGGAAAAGTTTAGGATAATGTATAAAGCAAATAAGGAAATACCGGTGAAACAAGTAATTCAGAGATCAATTAGAAATTACAACGAACGATATCACTCAACTATTAAATGTACTCCTAAAGAGGTTCAACAAGGAAAAATGGATGAAAATAAAGTTAGAAAGTATTTAGAGGACAGTAAAAGAAAATAATAGATAAAATAAATAACTCTAGAGAAGATTATAAGGAAAATAGAAAAGAAGGGTTTATAAAAAATTATAAGGCCGTCCGACATAAGGAACAACCGAAATATAAAAAGACAAAACTGGAGCGAATACATCCGTGCAATATTAAAAGACCTTTGAAATTTGCAGATTTGGACAATACTGATGATACTAATATGGATACCACAGACTAGAGGGATAATTACTACAAAATTTCTGACAGAACAAAGAGGATATATGGACATTTGCATGGGAAATCAGAAAATTGTTAATGAATCGGACATAATTTTACATATAATCAATCTTCACGAAATTGAAACAATTTTAGATGACATAACAGATAACATTATTCTAATGAAAATCGAAAACAAAGAATTACTTGAGTTAGAACTATTAGATGCCAGAAATAAATTAATGACGTTGATACCCAAACAAAATAGAAAAAGACGTGGACTAATTAACGGTATAGGAAGTATGACCAAATGGTTATTTGGGACGATGGACGATGAAGACAGACGGAACATACAAGAACATCTTCTTAATATTAATGAAATTAAGGAAAATAATAATCAACAGATTGTAATTAATGATTATTTCAATATAACTTTAAGTCATTTAAAGATGGTAATTAAGAATGATAGAAAGAAAATAGAACAAGAATTAAACTCTATAAACAAATTTTTAGAGGAAGAAAATAATAAAAGTTTATACTTAGAACAATTGACTAATATACAATTAATTAAGAATAAGATAGAGCATTTGCAAGACAACGTAATTTCTGCAAAATACGGGATTGTACACCCAAGTATTTTAACAAGTAGAGAAATAAGAAAATATGAAATAGATTATAACAAACTTAAATATATTCAGTTTGGAACAACATTTCTTAACAACTCTTATCTTGTGTTTGGAATAAAATACCTAAACAATTTATAACAGTAAAATTAAGATTTATTGTACCAATACCAGATAATGAAAATAATGAAATAGAATCTAATATGGAAAGATTTTTTGAATTTCAAAATAAAACTTATAAATTTGAAGAGAATAAACATTTAAAAGATTTAAAGTTAAGTCATCATTGTTTAATAAAGAATAATTGTCAATTGATAAAAAATAAAGACTTTGAAATTATACAGTTAGATATAGACACAATTATAATTAAAAATGCAATAAACACGACTGTAAATCAAACTTGTAACTTTGAAAAAATTTTGTTAAATGGAAATTATTTAATTAATTTTAATAATTGTTCAGTTAGGATAAAAGATTATTATTTTTCAAATATTGCAGAAATTACAAAAGAAAGACAAATAATTGAAAATACAAACAAAACTCAAAATTTTAAACATAAGATATCGTTCGAACAAATTGAAAAAGAACATCAATACAATGTAAGAAATATCGGAAAATTAAAATACCACACTAAAATAACATATGTATGTAATATTTCTATAGTAATTGTAATAATTATTTTAATTTTCATAATCATAACAAAACATAAATATATAACTGTAAAATTAAATAAAAGAATTCAGGAGAATTCTAGTCTAAAGGGGGGAGTAGTTACGTATAATCATACTACCCCTGATAAAATTGATAAGTTCTTGGAAACAATTAGCCAATAAAACGTGTACAATTATTGCACTGTAAGCATAAGTGAATTTGACATTCTTTAGTTTGACTTTATTTTATTTTTCCAGTTAAAACTGTCTGGAGCTGAGTATACAATTATTTACAAAAGTGTGTTAATCAAATTTCATTTAAAATAAACTTATGCTAACACTGCAATAATTAATTAACAAATAATACCTGTAGAATAAGTAAATTAAAAATGTAAAAGTTAGTCTTAGTTCCATCCTCTTAGTCGCAAGTCGACGAATAAATAAATAAAAGAAAAAAAACAAAAAAAAACAATTTTTTTTTAATAAACATAATTAATCAGGTTATCTAATTCGCATTTAAGTCCCTCATCATCAAAACATTTGGATATATTCATGGACGTGAGCACACACTCTGAAAGCCCCCGCACAAAGTCCCACACACGCGGACATACATGCAAATCTGAAGAAGACAAACAAACAAACACGAATTGTGCTCCTACCAAACATTACATCAAAGTGTGAATGAACGAACGATCGGACGAAGGGAAAAGCAAAGCAAGGGCGCCTCCTAACAAGGTAAAAAAAAAATACAAGCGGAACATGATATCGTGTTGTTCTCCGCTAACATACGGCCTCTTTCTGATACTCACCCCCCTCCCCCATACAAAAACACATGCACAAAGTTATACAGTTTTTTAAAAGGATTTGTGTGCTTGTTGCAAATGTTTGGCTATGTCAGAAATACACACACATGCACATCAATTCATTTACATATTACATTTTACACCATCGCCAGGTTAGCGGGCGTGCTTTTAAGCCAACGAAAGGAAAACATTGCAAATGATTTGGTATTTGTAATCTTGGGCGATGTAAATAAAAATAAAAGTACCACCAAAACAGTACTGAACGGGCATGGGTCATTTTGTGGGCTTTCTTAAGGATTGGTATGTCATAAATGTGACTAATAAAAGTTAGTCCGGTAGGGCCAAACTCAAGAAGGAAAATTGATTCAAAATGCCTTCAGTCAGAACTCTATAAATATATTTTGGTTAACATCTACTGGGAGTTTATCTAGTTTGAATCTACTATACTTCTCTGTAATAATTTAACAATAGAATTAACAACAATTAGGAATAATTGCAAACGTATGCATACCTTAAAGTTCGAAGTCTGACGAAGTTTGTCGTTAGATTAGCTATCTTAACATTCATTCGCAAGTGTAGTGTAGTTTTTTACTGTTTGCCTACAGATATATGCCATCAGCGTTTGACCATTTAGTTATGTGTTCCTTGTTTGAGATGTGCCTCAAAATTGGATCTATATATCCCATTTTTATACCCACAGGCATTTGATATGGTCAAAACGTGCCTCATCGAAATAACGATTTTAGACCCTAGGTCTTTTTGGACCAAATCGGTTTCAGGACATTTGGAGTCGATCTAGCGATGTCCGTCTGTCTGACAGGTGCGCACGATAACTCTCGAAAGGATCATCCGTTTTGGTCCAAACTTGGTCCGTCGTCATATGGGAGATGGGTGCACTCCTTCTGGTAGCTCTCCGAAATTTGACATATTCAAAAATATTTTAATGCACAGAAAGAGAAAGAATAATCCGATTTGGTTTCAACTTGTCATCAGTACTAGGTCAGGTGCGAAAATGGACAATATCGGTCTACTCCATCAAGTACCTCCCACACAAAGTTCCAACATTTTGAATAATTATAACACTTATAAAATGTGATGTGACAATTCGAATGTCTTCAATTTACACACATCATAATACTTTTACTAACCCAAGGCCCGGTACGAAGGTGGAATATATCGGTCCACTCCTTCTGGTACCTCCCCCACAAAGGTCAAAATTTTGAATAACCATGAAGCTCATAAAACTAAATTAATTTCCGATTACATTTAGACTTAGCACATCCCAATTTTTCTATCAAAGCAAGATCTGTTATAAATGTGGCAGAAATCGGGCCGTTCTTTCTGGTACCTCCCCCACAAAGGGCCAACGCTTTAATAACCAAAACGTTTATACAATCCGAAATAAGCATCCGGTTCTCTTCATATTACACACATCCCATTATTTCTACTAACACAAGATCTGCTGTGAAGGGTAAAGAGCAAAATTTTGAATATCCATATGTCATAAAACGCGAAATTAACATTTGATTCCATTCAGACTTGGTATATCTCAATATTTCCATCAACGCAAGATCTATTATAAAAATAGAGATCGGACCAGTTCTTCTGGTACCTCCCCCACACAGAGTTCAAGATTTTGAAAAATAAAAACGCTCAAAGAAAGCGAAAGAAGAATTCAACTCTCTTCAAATTTCGCACAAACAAACATTTTTTTTTAACACAAGATATGTTCTGGAAGATGATATATATCTGCAAACTCCTTCTGGGACCTCGCCCACAGACGGTGGTCACAATTTTGAATATATTTATCTGTCATAACTTGCAAAACAAGGCAGCGATTCTTTACAACTTGCTATATCTAAATATTTCCCTCAACCAGAGACCTAAGATGAATATCAAATTTATGATTTCGCATAAAAAAAACAATTTAACATTTTCTTAAAAGTGTCACCTATCTCCTATAAAGTGAAGGAAGCAACCTGCCACATCGCAATATTTATATAATATTTACAAAATGGAAAATATTTAACCATTCCTTTGGAACCTACTCCATAGAAGGTTACCAATTTTAATAATCATATCTGCCGGCAAAAAAGACCGATGCTTTTTAACCTGTTTTTATTAAATTTACTGTTAGTACAAAATTACAATGTGCAAACTTTCAATAGAATTGGGAAATAATTTGCATTTAACCAGAGTTAAAATTATGCAAAATTCAGAAAGAGAGAGAGAGTTTGAAGAAATATTTGAATTTGCGAAATATCGAAATAGACAATCGGACTCTTGTTTCATATTTTAGTACTAATACATCGTCAGATCACTATTAATATATTATCATCAAACTTGAGTTGAGTTCGGAAATGGGGTAAAAGGGGTACACATATTCAAAGAAAGTTATTTCCACATAGATAGCGTAAGGATTTTCCGATTTTGTTCCAATGTTGCCAATACTTTTATGAGCGCCAGGTCAGACGAGAAAATGGACATTATCGGGCTACTCCTTCTCGTACCTCCCTAAACGATAAACATTTTAAAGAAAGTTATTTCCACATAGACAGCGAAAGATCATCCGCTTTTGTTCAAATTTTTCAGATACTTTTATGAGTGCTAGGCGAGAGGATGGATAGTATCGGCCTACTCCTTCTAGTATGTTTACCACAAAAGTTCAACATTCTGTATGTTCACAAGACTTATTAAAAAAAGAGAGAAGAGTGTGATAGTCTTCAAATATCACATATACCCATATTTGTACCAACTCTAAGTCTTATATGAAGATAAAAAGTCACAACGACAAAGGGACATAAAATACATAAGTTCGAATAATCATAACTCTTTGAAAATCCAAAATGAGCACCCGATTTCTAGCAAGGCACTTTTCAATATTCGTACCACATGATCTGATGTTAATATCGGATTTACTAGTTCATTCCTTCTGTGGGCGAAATTTTGAATAATTATAAGTCTCATAACAAGCGAAACAAGTCAATATTTCTATAAATGAAAAGCTATCCCATGTCGGTGTATTCTTTCTTGTATATTCCTTACAAAAGTTCAAGGTTCTCCAAAAAAACATATAACATATAAAATGGGGAAAGTAGTCGATATATTCCAAACCCGGCATGTGGTAATATTTATATCATATATAAGTTAAATGATTCACTTCTTGATAGAATCACTTTCTGATTCGATTTATGCATGTTAGCCCATCTGTCCATCCGTTTGTCCATGACAAGATGCAGGTCGCATTTATTATCCGATTGAGATAAAATTTTCCAAACAATATTTGCTTGGTCCAAGGACGAACCCTACTGAAATTGGTGTGAATCGGTTTAAATACCTTTAACCGATTTCAGGTTTATTGTGCACCAAATGGCCAATATCAGTCCAAATGACCTGATTTTGGCAGATTTGACAAATTCAGTCTAGAAACAAGTCCGCAAAATTTGGAGAGAATCGGTTCAGACATAGCTATAGCTCCTGTTTGGGGTTTTAAATCTCTCACATGCGTAATATGCAGTCCACAACAATGATCTTTGGTACCAGATATTAGATACAGCTCTGAAATAAGTCGTTACAATTTTGTCAAGTTCTGTTCAGATTTGAATATAGCTCCTATATATATATTTATCCGATTTTTTTCGTGCATCAAATGGCTAATATCTCTCCAAATAGTGTGAATTGTGGTACATACGACCGAATTCAATCTAGTAGTAAGTAAATCAAATTTGGAGAAAATCGGTTCAGTTATATATGTCAAATTTAATCGAGATCGGATCAGATTAGGATGTATCTCCTATAAATATGTATATCCGATTACAGTTTTTTTGTGCACCAAATGGACTGTATTTTGGCACTTCCGACGTAACTCAGCCTAAAATTATGGTGAAAATGGGTTCAGATATAGCTATAAATACAAATGTTTCATCCGGTTTGTTGTTAAAGTCACTCACATGCGTAATATGCACTATACAGCAATAATATTTGATACAGAACATCAGATACTACATCATTTTACTAAACACGCATAGTGATGTTGGGTATAATATAGTCGGCCCGCTCTACTTTGACCTTTCCTTACTGCTTTATATTTGGATATTGTTCGACCTCTCAGTTACGACGTTATTATAATAAATTAAGAACTTAGAAAAGCTTAGGTCGTGGTCATGTTCTCGAAACAAAAATAATCTCTTGAGAAAAAAAGTATATCAAATTATCTTTGACAAACATTTGCTATTTTCGGGCAGCTATTTTTATACCCTCCACCATACTATGGAGGGTATATTAACTTTGTCATTCCGTTTGTAACTCTTCGAAATACTCATGTCAGACCCAACAAAGTATATATATTCTTGATCAGCGTAAAATTCTAAGTCGATTTAGCGATGTCCGTCTGTCTGTCTGTCCGTCTGTCTGTTTGTTGTAATCACGCTATCTTTCGAATGAATTGAGATAGATGGCTAAAATTTTGCACACATGTTTATTTTTCCAGTAGGCAGGTTAAGTTCGTAAATGGGCCATGTAGGTCCACGTTTTCATATAGCCCCCATATAACGGTACCTCCCTATATTCGGTATTTTGATGATTTTAACGACATTATTCACGGGAATTGTTTCAAATTTGGTATTTGAAGTTCGTTATAGTAACTACAGTCTGTGACAGCAAATTGTCTGTGCGGGTCCAGGTCTTCGGATAGGCCCCGTATATCAGTACCTCCCTATATTCGGTATTTTGATGATTTTAGCGACATTATTCACCGGAATTGTTTCAAAATTGGTATTTGAAGTTCGTAATGAATACTACAGTCTAAGATAGAAAATTGTCTGTGCAAGTCCATGTCTTCGTATAGCCCCCATACAACGGTACCTCCCGATATTCGGTATTTTGATGATTTTAACGACATTATTCACGGGAATTGTTTCAAAATTGGTATTT